CTACCCACCTATCAGTATCTAAGACCAATCCATCTTAGCCTTCTTGAGTTATCGTCCTCACACACACACACACACACACACACACACACAGACACACACAGACACACGAAGGCCAACGAAACATAACCTTCTTGGCGAAGGTAATGACGGTACATCCAATGTAATGTCATTACTGACCTGACTTTTCTAATCTCTTCAGTATTGAATGTCCAGGAGTCCGACGGTGCCACAGAGACAGGTGGAGTGGAGAACGTTGCCGGACGAGCTGTTCTACTGGCGGGAGTACTGTCAGACTGAACTCCGGTCGTGTCTTTGCGGTGGTTGTAGCGAGGACCGGGCGGCATAACGTTTGTTTGTACCTCCAGTCTAGCAGGAGTTTGAAAATGTGTCAGACATGCAAACTAAGTACAAAACAACCTATGTTCAATGCAACAAACGTGACTGGCCTTGGTTCTAAGCTACTGTGTGTTTGGAACGTTTCTACAACTAAAAGTTTAACATCCTTGGGATATTACCAATATACACAGTTGTAGTCACTACATGTAGTGATGTGCAACTATTTGGTGCATCCCTGCGGGGATTGGTAGCCTGGGTACCATCCTACTTGTATGCCGGGGCTCCCACACTCGCTTCCCTAACAAGTACTTGTTAGGGAAGCGAGTGTGGGAGCCCCGGCATACAAGTAGGATGGTACCCAGGCTAGGGATTGGAGCTCTGTGTTTTGAAACTTCTAATGTCTTTTCCTAAGGGTAGAATCTTATATATAATTATAAAATGCATATTAGTAAAAGAAACAATAACATACTTTGGTGACCCCTGTAGAAGGAAATGGATGGTAGCAAAGAAGACCAGGCCAATGATAAACATTTGTAGTCTTCTCCCTAGCTTCTTGGACCTTACAGAAGACACGTCTTTGTCTTGGGGGGCCACTTGGGGTGATGTTGCAGCTACTTCCGTCGCCATTTTACGTCAATCTCGGACAAAAGTCGTACAGTCTGAAGGAACTGGACAATCACCGAGGAACTCCTGGGATTTCAGCAAGTCAAGACTTCGACTGCATAATGTTCAAAATGACCTACTGCTATACGGCAATTAAGTATACGATATCATCAAGGTCCTGCATGCAGAAAAAGATATCTGGCTCTTTCACGTTAATTCAGTTGAGTTGACCCTAAACTACTGAAGCGTCACAACAATTAAAACCACCCTTCCACTTTCCGAGAAGAGACGAGCCTTTTTTGCACCTGCGCAATGCAGTAAGTTGTGACTTCCAAAAAAACTACCTCTGTATTTGTTTTAATTAAAATTAAAACAAATACAGAGGTATACGTAGTTTTTTTTGTAAGTCAAATCAAAGGCTCCAAACACCAGATCGTATTGATAGTATTACATGTAGAAGTTTGCAAGAGTCACATGGCCATTGCCCTGTTCTTATGATGAATATTCCAATATTCCGTACTGTGCCTGAGGGGGCGCTCCCCAAACTCGGGCCCCACTAGATATATAAAATGTCCAATTTATCAAAAAGACTGCAACCACTTCTTGTTCTTGTAAAAGGGTACATCTGCAAACATTAAGTTTGACTATTGTATTTATTTTTACCGTCTTCTACAACAGTGAGCAAGTTGCTTACTTGGTAATATAACATTTGACCCAATTGAAGAGCCCACACTTCATTTTTCGTCACATTTCCCTACAGGCTGCTTCACATTAATTCAGTTGAGTTGAGCTATGATGATGATGAGTTGAGTTGACCCAAAAGTACTGAAGCGTCACAACAAAAGTACTTCTCGAGGTGGACGGAGCGTATTTTTGTCTGGGTAATAAAATGGGTTTGCTGCAACCTTTGGTTACATCATGTATAACCAAAGGTTGCAACTGCGGTCGAAATGTACAAGGCCGTTGAAAAACTGCAATTGCTTGAAAGTCCAGAACTGGTAAAAAGAGATGTGGTGTAACAGACCAGCTCTGCCGTTGACAGTATACATACATATTGTATGTTTCACGTACAAGTTTCGCAAGGGGGCTGACTAGCATGAGTCAGAGCAAATCGGAGCGCACCAATATGTCAGTAGATCGGTAATGCGTTTGAGGTGAATGTCGGACGACTCGGACTATTGCCAAGTCGGCCCAACTGGCCAGGATCAACCCTGCCAAACACCCTGTATAGTCAACTCGGCCCAATACTTTGGTCAACTCGTTTGGCCTAATACTGGAGACAACAATTTAGACAAAGACACTCAGTCCTTTTTGCACTCATCGGCGCATGCGGTCGGCAAAATGCCTTATTTCATTTCAAGTTTGGTTAACGTCAAGAATTAAGTGTGAACTAAGAACGAAAGCTTCAAAAACCTCAAGGTCATTCTCAACTGAGTCCATAATGTTTAATGCCATTAGTAGACATACGTACCACCAAAATAGTAGTATAAGGAAGAGGAAACAAGAACATACGACCAAACTCAGGGTGTTGCACTGCAACATAAAAATCTTTAATGTTACACACACACTTAGTATATTTCGTTTGTCTACATGATTGCCTTGTACACTGCAGCAGACTTTTCACTGGTTCTTACACAAAGGTCTGTAGCTAGGACTTATTCACACATGGTCATTATACTGTGTATCTCAAACAAAAGAGCGTACATGTACACTGTCAGATCTGTTGAAAAATTGACGAATTGCAGGAGTCTCTGGTTATTAGTATAATGGTATAACAAACATCATAGGCACACCACAATATGTCTTCTTGTAGCCTGAACTCCTGCCTTCTTCAGCTTTGGGAGGCTCCAACCATTGCTTGTAATAGGTGAGCAATTGTACAATGTAGTTCAAGAGGGTTAATCCCTGGGAAGGCAGGGTTTGAGGCTAATTGTCTTGCACAAGACGTGGTGGCAATTCATCACAGGAGAAAAAGGTACCAGTAGTACACAGTTAATGGCAGGCAATATATGGGAAATCATCTCCAAGTGCATGGCATTGGGAATTGCATTAGCACACACATATAATATGGAATGTCTGCACTCTTTGCTGACATTTTAGTGCATGACAAAATCATATTGACAACATGCCACCAGATTGCATATGTACAAGAGATATTGCCGATGATTTTGACTTTTACACAATGCTTACCAATTTCCAGGTTTCGCTCCATTACAATATTACAAAATGTAAAAGACAATAGGGTCTTCCAAGATTCACAATCTATTCAATGCATTTGGTCACAACAAATAAGTACACTATAGTGAATGTCTGCTGCAAGGTTTTGTCAAACAAGCTCATGATGCGAGTTTACATAACACAAAACTTTTCAACAATTGTTGGCTATCTTCATATACAGTTAATGGACCATGAATAACAGGCAATCTAGAACTGAAATAGGAAGAAATTGTCTGCACATGATTTCTTCAAAAGGTATTTCTGCATCCTACAGTTTGGCACAATGATTATCTTGTCATTTTTGGCAATTTTACAACTGGACTAAAACGTGAATTTTCAACTAATATAAAAGCAATAAAGCGGCCTTTGATCTACTACAATTTAGACTGGACAAGTCAACCCTGGCACATGATTATTGGGTTAGGCAGTATGTAACAATCTGAGAAGTTTGACAGGCATTAGATGTCACTTCTACCAATGGTAATGGCAATATTAATTCTGCTTTGACCCAAGTTTCTTCAATGAACAATACATGCCCGATTGCCAAGCCAGTAATGCCAATGTTTAAGCTTACATGTACATCACAACATTCAAAAGTAAAAACAGCAATCCAAAAAGGCTGACCAGTTAAATCACTCGGCATGATTATCTTGGCAAAGACTTGCACATTGTGTATTCTCTTCTCTAAGCTCTTATATCATAACAACTGAAGATTATCAATGCTTTTACATTAATTCAGATACGCAAAACATTTTTTGGTCCCTGTTTCCTAGCTTTCTACGTGTAAGTACTTAATATCAGTAACAGGTCGACTCAATTGTCAAAAGGGTATGTTCCATCATCTTTCCATAAAAGCTTGTATCTTGTTCAGTTGTTACAAACAAGTTTAAATGCTGACAGAAGAACACATCTCTGTGATGTTGATGTGTACAAAATCACAACATCAAAGTTGTTTGAGTAAGATTTTTTACAAGTTAGACGGGCTCAGTACAGTGTAAAAGATTTTTTTCATAGAGACCACACATTGTAAGTACAAAACGATGTTCCGTTTAGATTCTATGTGTATGTCTTCAGGAAAGTGGCATACTCATGCACTTGCTTACTTGTTCAGAAAATAGTAGTGCTTTTCCAGGTTAAAATACAGAACAACATCACAAACACTCACAACTTTTAGTTTTATAGTACCACAGTAGTAAAACTAGACACACACACATACAGTTTGGAGAGGAATATACTAATACTACATGTACCTGTATCTAGGCATGTATGTACAAGGGTAACTACAGATAGAGGTCACTATTTACAGAGAAAAGACAGAAATATGCATATTTACAGGCCTCACAATATTTACATATCCCTTGGCTTTCTGGCTCAAACTGACATTGGAAAATGGTGCATTTAAGTTGTACATATCCAGGATCAAGTCAAGTGTTGCAAGCTATGATACAATCTACTTCCTCTCATGGCTTTAAAAGTTACAAACGTCCAACAACTGGAAGGTGGTGCCCCGAAAAAGGCTACTATATACATGTTCGTTTTCCTGTTTACATCAACAGTTTATCTAGCCTGTACAACATTCAAGCCAACCTGTATATCTACATTGGATATGTTTGTTCTATCAACTTTCATTGGCGTTTAATATAGGTATTTTTTCAGAGTTTGATTTTGAGGACAAACTACATTGAGTCTTACAGATTGAAAGTTAAAAATTTAGAGGACCTGTCTGTGAAGAAAGAAATATCAAGGATATGCAAAACAGATGCAAATGAGCAGGGCAGAAAGCCTCAGGTTAACTTGTGTTTTTGAAGTCCCAGTATGTCCTTCATCTTGTGAGGTTCAGAATTTGGGATGTGTTGTTTTGACTTCGGAGCGCCTGGTATAGGTTGGACCTGTATGGTGGAGTAAAACAAACAAAACATGTCAGGACTGTGTATAATGTAAAACATAACAGACAAGCTTTACCAGTCAGTAATTAATAAGTACTACAAAATACATGTATCTTTACTCAACCAAAAAAAACACAACAGCCTCAATTACAGGAGTACTGTCAATTCATTTACTTCCGTGATGGTTTCATTTCAGGGTACGACGGATGAAGTGGTTTTCCTTGTGTTTTAAATTTGTTGAAAAAAGTGTGACAAAATGATCTTTTCAGGTTCAAAATTTACATTTTACTAAGAGTTTCTACCCTAACTGAACACACAACAGGTATACCTAAAACTGTAATGAAAGTCGGCTGGAAATCTCTGTTCACCGGTAAAATGAGATTTCCTGGCATAGTTTTGTTGGCAGAATTGTAGCCCTTCAGCCAGAGGGTGTCCTTCGTAAAAGAAACTCTGGTCTGAGACCATGATAGATACATACCTCAGAAACCTGGGGTAGGAGTCCCGCTCCATGAGGATGGCGATTTTGCGCTGTGCCAGTTTGAAGGTCCCCTCGTCAGGACTGGTCAGGCGGGCCAGAGTCTCCGCCCTTGCCTCCGCATCAAGATTCAGCTGCAGGACGCAAAGACTGGGTTCAAAACTTTATACATGTACCGGTATGTAGTTATTACTGACTGACATGTTGACATGAAAGGGGCACTAAAAATTGACATGTTGACATGAAAGGGTCCTAATGATTCTAATTTAAAAAAAATTCATGTGATCGTAATTTACTTTGTGATGTATACATTGAATACATTTGAGCAACTACCTGACATTTCTGACATCTATGGTTGGTGCTAAAACACAGCGAGGTGCACTCAGTTTGTAGTGCCACCACAAACTAGCAGAATGTAAACAAACATGACAGCTGTACATGTGGTTCCAGCTTTTAAACACACTATAACTACAATGTATGTACTTCTGACACTAAGAAAAAAGTATTCTAAACACATGCAATGTCAGCCAGAAACTAATACTAGTAGCATTAAACATGTTATAGCTGTGCATATATAAATTTTATAGCTGAGGGGGCGATGCACAAAGATTGAGTGGCCAATAAACATGTAGGTAACCTGGCAGATAAATGCTAATGGACTGTTACCTGCTGTGTTTAGATGGAATCCAGGAAGAGATTTATTCTAAATCTACATGGATATCACAGAGGGAAGCACTGAGGAAAATGGACTTTATGTTCAAATTGATATCTTATCCCTTGTTTGACTGATGTATTATTTTATACTGTAGACATGTTTCGTCTTTGGTTAGAGTTTGATATGGATGGTTCACTGTATATTTACATTACTTGGAAAACAAACACCACAGGAGGATTTATAAATTACCTCTCTTGGGGCCTGCACAGCGATGTAGTCGTTGTAAATCTTCTTGGCTCGGTGCGCCTGTTTGGAAGGCTTGAGCTGTTTGTACTCCTCACACGCCATCCAGAACTCCAGATTCTCCTCACTGAACTCTGTCTTCAGGTAGCCATGGAATGCCTGCACTCCACCTGAAGGTGGGGAGAAGAAAATAATGTTTATGGCATACATGTACATGATTAAAGGCATCTAGTGCAAATTCAGGGCAACAAAACAAAAAATATTATGGATATAGGAACCTGTCTGATATTGGCATTTATTGCCAGTTCCTAGCACATTTACGTCATCATTTTATACTTAAGGCGTTTGAAATAGCCAAAAAACAATCCAGTGCAATTTCATGGTGGAAAACAAAAAATTGTAGCTAGAACCAGCCTTTGATACAAAACAAGTGTTACCATTTTCCAGCGTCATCGCAATTTTGCCTCACAGATGTCAGTATGAGATAGGACTGATTCAACTTACAACTGATCAGAAAATTGACTTTGAGTTTGAAAATCCAGTTTTGCCGCCTTGACATTGCATTCATGATTTATCCATAGCAAATTTTCTGCCAACTGCAGAATGGAGATGGGTGTGGTATATACTAGTATATATACTGTACTGCCCTGTATGTTGGAACAGATACACACATGTATAATACACAGTCAAATACACTGTACGATCTCCATTGGATTGCTATGCAATACAGTTTGTACCTTTTACAGGTACATATGTGTGCCTGTGATAAGCTGGTGTCATATGCTGGAGGGCAGTTTTACTGTCTATCTAAATTTCTGACTGACTGACAGAGATTGAGAACAGTCAGATAAATACAAATTCCCCAGGCCATCATGATATATCATCAGCATTATATCTGCCTGTGGGTGGCAAGTCTACTCAACCGATATGAATCATGCTGCTACGAATAATGAGCTTAGGTTTGTTGTGGATCATGCTGCTACAAATAATAAACTAGGTTCGCTGTGAATCATGCTGCCACAAATGACTGATAACATTTCATGCATCGTAAATGACTTACATTTGTCATTCAGGAGAGCTTCAAATGATTCACTCCACCTGGTGACTTGCTCCACTTCAAGTCTGTAAAACACAGGAGGAAAACATTTAGGCCTTCTAAAAAGTGTTGTGTTTCCAATTATAATTACATGTATAATATAAAAAAAATAGTAATACTTGCCAGAAACATCGTTAAAATCAAAGCATTCTATTCGATCACAAGTCCCTAATAATAACTAAATCCTTATCTATTGGATCACTGGGTTTCCATTATGTACATGTATTAAAGAACATATTATGCTGACATATAGCTTTTGGAACCATGAAATCAATTCTTGTTGCTTACAAAAATGGGACCGAGCTCAGTGTAATTACAGCACAACAAACACTATTGGCAGGAACAAAGTCTCCATAGATATCACATTTTGCACACTGTGAAAAAGGTGGAATTATGATAGAAAAAAACTTTCAATGCAGTACTATTAAAAATGTAAAATAAGAGGCTGTGCACAGATCTTTGTACAAGAAAAAAAATGTACAGGATAGAAAAAAAATGACGCTATTTGGATAACAATATACAGTACCCATACATGCATAATAAAAAAAGGGCAGAATGAACTTCAAAGAAGCAAAATATGCCACAGACAAGGATTAAGAATAGAAGAAAAAGAGGAAAGAGAAATAAACTTACCTCTGCACCCTGTCAGTGTTGGCACTCATGTCCTCTACATGGATGGACACACTGGCCGCCGGTCTCTTTCTCAGGAATGCTAGCTTGCTCCTCATCTCTTTGGCACTGTGAGCACAGAAGGAGAGAAACACAGCCCAGTCAGCACCGCACCTTGCCTCGACTGAAGGAGGAGACGCGCTAAGTGTGACCCACATCGGGGGCCTTCGCATTAAGTACCCGGCAACAGGAGATGTGTGGGTTTAGATGCATATTTCCAAGAACACCCACATTTGAACCATCTGGAGAGATTACTGTGGGGGCGGCCCGCTAACTGCTCTGGACTGGCCCACTACCAGGGGGAGAATGCACGGTAGGTTGTCTCCCTTTTCAAGTGCGGGTGTAATGAGAAAGGGTAATCAAGGGATTAGGCTCTCCACTTATCTACAGCTTATCGGGGAACTGAGTTCTGAGAACACTGGAGAGTTTGGAGGACAAGGAGATCGATGTCGGCATCTAGGAATTAGCTTAAATGTTGTAATGATCTCAGTCAATAAAAAAATCTATTTGAATGCAGAGTCAACTGAGGATATGCAATAGACAAAACAAACTGGAGGACGGATAAAATATTACCGGTATTTAGGGATACTGTGATCAATATGATATACGCCAGTCAGGCTTAAATGATTCAGAATCATATTGTTTTACATGCAGTTTCCATTCTGCTTCATACATGCACATCCTCATGAATGTTTTCATCTAACACAAGATGCTTAATATTTGAATTTGAATACAATTATAATGAACATGAGAGGAGCCAATTTGTTTGAACAATTTTTATTCTTGAGAACCTCAAATCAGCCTGCAGGCTGCTTGTTGTTGAGGTTATGAGGGAAGAAGTAAGGGTCAGTAAAATAAAACAGGTTTCCAAATATGTCAAGTAACCCACAGGTCAGTCACCTTATCCTGGGCTAACTTACATAATTAAGTCATTACTTCAGCAACCAGCCTGACAGTAATCCTGGAGCTTGGGGCATATTACTAGCCAGAACTGGCCATTACTGGCCCACACGGACCAATTAAGTACCCTTTTTCTGTCAGCCTATAACCCTGTAACCTATACACATTGGGCAGCCAAAAGACTACTTTGGCGTGGAGGAGGTTAAAGACAGTTAGTGGCACCTTATTTGTGTGGAATACTCATTGCAGGTCTAAGAATTCAATTTTCAACTATAAATTTTCTTTATTACCCTGCTACATACATTTGACAACATGTAAATGGTAAAGCGGCTCATCCCATAGTCTTCCTTCTTAGAATAGCTTCTATTTAAGTTTGAACTGCTCTGAAATGTAAATATGAACTAAAATGTACTCACAAGCTTCTGGACTTCTTGCGAGTCTGTCTGCCGAGGTCGGTTAAGTCTGGCTGACTGGACGACATTGGACTCTCTGCAGTCTGGCTGGCAGACATCTCCTGTAGTCAAACATAAAGAGAAAAATCATTTCATTAGAAAACAAGCCGCCAAGGGGCCCAAAATCGAATCATTTCGTTGTCTCATCGAGACCTATCCACCCACCAAATCTCGACACAATCCATCCAAGTCTTCTTGAGTTATCATGTTGACAGACACATATACACACACACACACAAATGAATGCAACTTTATTGACACAGCAACAGGAACTGTTGTTCAATAATAAGCTTCAGACTATGCAAGAGTTAAAAGCTCACCTGTCCGTCGCCTTTATTCAGGACTCCTGCAGAGTGGCTTCGTGGCCTCAGCAGGATGCCGTCTTTTTCATCCGACCGCTTCTTCACGGTGCCGGATCTCTTCAGGAACGATATCCTGCGCTTTCTCGTGCCCGAGTTGTTCGCCTCCGGACAGGCGACCTCCATGTTTTCCTCGAACGTTTCATGCGGCACGTTGGGCACCAGGAAGTGGACGTGAGGGGAGTTCAGCTCCATCGACTTGTCACGGGGCGACTCAGGCGACGGGCTGGGCTGCGGGGAGCCGCCATCTTGGATGATACCATTGAGACCCATGTTGAGGGGGCACAGCCCGAGTTTGGAGCTCTCCTCACTATGGTCCTGCATGTACTTGGCCATAGCAGCGATATCCCA